GAGGGAGTTACAGTGGGTGTGCCGACCCACAGAGTGCGAGCCGAGTGCCTTCAGGCAGGCCGGCTTCCTGGTGGAGTGGGGTGCCAGCAGGCACTTGGCAGAGATGAAAAGCTTGGTGATAACTTGCCCCAGGGCAGAGGCCAGGCCCAGAGGTCAAAGGGCCCAGGCTAAGAAGCTGTCCTGATCAAACAACTGTATGGTGAGTCATTCCTGATGCTGAAACATACCTGTCACTTTCCTAATAGTCTCTGTGACTGTTAGGATGGTTGGTGAGAAGGGATTTGAACTGGTTCATTCCAGTTTGACCCCCTGCAGAGAATCTTAATTTCCACCCCACAGACTGTATCACAATCTCCATTTTAACAATGTCTGAGGCCTCAGGATGGCTTTCCCAGGTGGCAGAGTGGTCTTGCTGTGCTGGGCCACACGGCGTTTGGGGTCAGGCTTTGGCACACACACACACAAAGTGGCTACAGTCTCAACACCAAGGCAAGAGGGGCAGGAGGGACGCTTCCAGAAGGGTGGGCAGCCACCCCAGTGACCCCTTCTTCTAAGATGGCACTGCACCTGACTGATGACAGGAGCTGTTTCCACCTCCGGGTTAGAGAAAGGAACACAGTCAGCAAGGGTCTTAGTTTGTGTTCAAATGGGAGTCATTTACTTGGGAGTCGATGGCAAAAACTGCTGCTGAGTGGAAGGGAACAGGGAAGGCAAAGAACCCAATGTCAACAGGGTCATGGCTTCACAGGACGTACCAGTTAATCGGCTTACTAGTGTGTTTAGGGCTTCTGTTCTAGTCCCCGTTCACTGCTTAATGCCTGGGGTCTTAAAAGTCTGCAGTCGACCGTCTAAGGCACAATTGGTCTCTGTTCATCTGGAGGAAGAAAGGAGAGCGAGGAATAGAAGGATATGGAATGTGTGGTTACTTGCCATGAACAACTACCTCCTTTCATGACACCAGAACTAGATGGTGCCCAGCTGCCATGATGTTTTATCCTGATCAAAAGGGGGAAAATGCAGAAAAGAATTTCAAATTCTCATGGAATCCAGATTTTCTGGAGCTATGGAGGCTGGATGGACTCCTGAAACCGTCGCCCTGAGATGATCTTTAAAGCAACAATATCTTGACATCTTCTTTAAACTAAGTAATAGTTTAGCTTAACAACTAAAGAAAAGTTTTTGAGAGCTAGCTAGATGGGGTCAAAGTGACAACAGCAACTCAAAAGGTTAAATAAGAACCTTAGGGGGCAGTGAGTTTATGTTAATGGGGGAGGACAACTCAGAAGAGGGTGAGAATAGCTGCCCAACGTGAAGACATAACGTCACTGAACAACCGCACGTGCAGAAATCGGTGAACTGGTCAGTGTACACGCTGTCTGTATATTCTCAACAACAACAAAAAACCATTTAATTTTTACCAGGGAATAAGGTTCAGCTATAAAACCTGTTGATCTGGTGAATGTCGAAGAAATATAAGCATTTCCCCAAAGCCCCTGGTGTCCGTCTTCCTATCTAGAAAAAATACTGAACAAGTCCCAGAGGCCCCGATCTCCTGCAGAGGCCCTCAGCTCCCGGGCTAGGGCCAGGCACTGGTCCTCCGCACATGCTCTGGCGTGGGCCAGGGGACAGGCCCTGGGTGCTCCGGGTTTGCCATTCTCACTTGATGCCCATGTGGGGAACGTCAGTGAGGCTGCACAGGGCCACATGAGCAGGTGTGCAGGGTGACACCTCACACAGACTGGGGCGGGGGGGGGGGCACGGCAGATGGGCACAAGGCATTGGCGACGGCCACCTTTTGATCCACATGAACACTGGGCGATGGAAACTCCTGCAAGAGGCTCTGAGATCCGAGGGCCCTATTAACTATTTTTTGGGTTGTAAATGGAATCCTTGGTTGGTACAACATGCTTGACTACTAATTCAAAGGTTGGTGGTTGGAAACCACCCAAAGGGGCCTCGGGAGGAAGGCCTGGCAATGCTCTGAGAAACTACCCCTCAAACAACCTACGCAGCACAGTTCCGACCATGCGGGGTCGCCATGAGTCAAGGACTCAAAGGCACCTGCTCTGGCCAACTTACAACCTGCCCAAGTACTTACGATACTAGAGTAATGACAGAATTACCTTTCATTACTAACACAAGGTCACAGAACCAGAGAGAGGATCTAGGCCCCAGATGTTACAGTAATGCTATAATCCAAACGCACTGCTATGGAGTCGATTCTGACTCATAGTGACCCGGGATGACAGAGTAGAAGTGCCCCATAGAGTTTCCTAGGTTGTGAATCTTTACAGAGACGGATTGCCACATCCTTCCCCCATGGAGCAGCTGATGGGTTTGAACCGCTCGCTGACCTTCTGGTCAGCAGCCGAAGGCCTTTATCACTGCAGCCCCAGAGCTCTAAGATGCTGTAAAAGTATAATAACACGGGACTGTGAAATGTGGGAGAGTGAGAAATACATGCACATGGTCAAAAGATAATAAGCAGTGGAATTCACAAAATGTGAACTGGAACAAGACTCAGAGGGGAGTGCATGAGGAGCCTTCGCTGCGTAGTGGTTAAGGCACTTGGCTGCTAGCCACAATGTTGGCAGTTCAAACCTACCAGCCGCTCAGCAAGAGAAAGGATAGACAGTCTGCTTCTGTGAAGACTGACAGCCTTGGAGACCCTGTGGGGCAGTTCCACTCTGTCCTCCAGGGGCGCTGTGAGTCAGAATCAACTTGTCAGCAGTGGGTTTGGTTTGGGCTTTGCCTCCATAGACTGACAGCCTTGGAAACCCTATGAGATAGTTCTACTCCGTCCTCTAGGGGCGCTGTGGGTCAGAATCAACCCCACAGCAGGGGGTGTGGTTTGGGCTTTGCTTCTGTGAAGATGACAGCCTTGGAAATGCTATGGGGCAGTTCCACTCTGTCCTCTAGGGGCACTGTGGGCCCAAATCAACTGGATGGCAGTGGGTTTGGTTTCTGTTATGTTACCTTTTCCTGTTTGTGACAAACTCCCGCTTGCGTTCCAAGGTGGCTCTTCTCAGTGACCCAAATGCAACTCGTCATGAGACAGCACAGACATGGCCAACGCTGTTTCTCCAAATTTTTATTTGAGCTTAAATTACAGGGCCAGCTGGATTTTCTGGTGAGAAATTCCCGTTTCCTCCGGGGAAATGAAACGCTCTCAGGGCACCGTTACAGTGGTCACAACCCCACCTATTTCTTTTAGGGGTTAAAATCACATTCAATAACTGCCTGTGTCAAATCCGCCCTCAGACCTGGAGAGAACCCACCTGTGGGAGAAGGCTTGGGTAACGAGTACAGCAGACAACCGGAAGCCCCACCTTCAACACCCAGGGTCCACACTGTTCTGCTTAAAAGCACAAGGTCCTGACTGTCGTGACAGGAGGGCCACAGTGAGCAGTCACCGTTCTCCTTGACTCGCCACGCCCTGCTGTTCAGACGTTCCAGGAACCAGCTCGGCGGGGAGACAGCTCTTCCGCTTGATGGAATGACGTCCACGAACCCAAACACACAGCGCGAGACTGCAGGAGCCAGGGCATCCCCCGGCTAGCCTGCCTTTCTACGCCTCATGGATATTCCTTCTCAAGGAGATGAAATGGTTGCCCTCCTTTCGATAAACACACGCCTTCCTGTCCACAGACCCCTTCAAAGCAGCAGTAGGAACTCGAGTCTCATGCAGACTGCCTTTCAGTCATGGGACAAACACATCTGTGCTTCCGGAGCCGTTTCTGTAACTGCTAAGTTCCCTGCGGGAGGTTTCACGATCTGCGGGACCTTCAACTGGAAGTTTCCTTTTACTGGCTGTAAGTAATTCAATTAGTGAGCAAGGCCGGCAAGGGACAGTCCTGTAACGTTCTCAATCAGCTACAGCCATGCTGAACGGGGACTGGCCGACTCGCTGGGGGAGCTGTTAGTGGAGGTCCTAGCAGCACTGGGAGGGTCAGATGTCAGCCAGGAGCTTTCACACAGCGAGCTTCTAGGACACGTTCCGCCGTGACCACAGGAACAAGAGAGTCGTGCAAAATCAGTCACTTTATAAATACTGACAATTTGCAGCATTAAGGAACAGGACATTAAAAAAAAATAATAAATTTCCCCAAAGGACACCTGTGACTGGAACGCCACTTCTTTTTCTAGACGAAGCTGACCCTGGTGCAGTTGCACAGCTGCTGGACCACCGGGTGAGCACACCTCACACTGAAGGAGGCCGACAGAGGCCCCGCGGTCGGCGGCGACTCACACCACCCATCCGGCGGACGCACGAGTCTTAAACGAACAAGGGCCGACGTGACGTGGGAAGTGAGCTGCCCGAGTCCCGGGTCTGCAGCCCCACCTGTTGATGGCACCCCATTAGATATAACTAAATACAAAGGTTTTGGTTACTTTTCTTTTAATGCTGTGATACTTAAATGTTAAATCAGCATTTTCATGTGATCTGAAGGATTTCAATTACATATGAGCATTCATTTTTTTTTTTTTTCTGCAAAAACTCAATATTAGGTAATAGTTACATACTAATACAATAACATTCCTCTGCTGTACAGTTAAATCATTGAAAAGAAAGGAGTACTCTAAGAATTATGTACAAAAGAAACCTACAGGCATGTGGAGAGACAACACGCGGTAGCACTGCTAGCTCTAGTTTGAAAATACCTTCAGAAGTAAAATGAACACACACCCTTCCACATATCCAAGTGTACAAGTCAAGTTTCAAGAAAATAAAAAGTCAGAAACTTCTAGAAAGCTGAGTGAAGCGTATGTACACGTCTCTTACGACCCGACGAAGCCCCACCTCGGAGAAGTCGCCAGGTTTCGGTATCACTCTCTTTGCAGCCACTCCATCCCCCAAAGCCCTGTCCTGACCCAGCCCCCGATTCCCAGTGAAGCTCTGCCCAATCTTTCTCGCACGAAGGTGACCATGTGACTGAGGCCACTAGGGGTATGCAGGCCATGCTGTGCTGTCTTTCACAAAGGTAAACACCAGCCTAGTCGTGCCCTCCTCCCTAAGCCACACCATCACCTCCACGTCGGCCTTCAGGAGCCCGGCCGTTTTCAGAATTCCCACAGCGAGTCTCTGAATTCTGCAATGACACCAAACATCAGGAAAGGTCCACATGTGCTCTAGTGCGCAAGAAAGCAGCAGCTACGTTCTCCAGCTCGGACTAAAAAAACGAAAAGGTAAAACGAAAACCGTTCACTTAACAGCAGACTAGCAGTCCTGTTCCTCATGACTCAGTAAGGGTGCCTGATGCTGAGTAGCTAACAGCAAATGCTGAATTTGGGTTTAATATTTTAGATGTTTATTGGAAATTAGGCTTCCTGCTGGGCTGGTCTCTTCAAATCCCTGATCTGTTTGACCAAGTAGGTCTTCTCGTCGTTGAACTGCTCGTCCTCGGTCCTGTCATTCTGGAACTTGCTGAGGAACTCGATGAGCTTGGCCTGGTTCTTCAGCAGGATGTCCAAGATGGGCTGGGTCTTGTTGGGATTGGCGACAAACACCTGCCCAGAGAGAACGCAACGTCAGTTCACAGTGACAGAGCAAGGCCCCGAGACATCTCAACCGCAGCCAAGAGACTCGCGAACACATCCACGCCTCCCCGGGGGATGTGGGGAGTCAGGAAGTTAGTGCTGATGTCTGTGCTACCAGACCCAGCCTTTACAACTCGAAAGGAGATCAGATCAATTACATGTTTTAGCACAAAAGGCACCGACCACCTCACGCCACTGGCCCCACAACACAACTGGTACTACTTCATTTTAGAACTAAACGAGTAGGAACGATTTCTGGGCAAAGGTGGTCAGACTGGATTTTAAGAATAAAAACTATCAGGAAAGCATTAAGAAGCGGTTTATCTTTCCCTCTGTGATGAATAATATTGTGCGCCCAAGAGCAAGGATGGCGAGGATGGCAGGTACTGTGGACGTGTTGTCAGGAGGGACCAGTCCCTGGAGAAGGACACCATGCTTGGTAAAGTAGAGGGTCGGTGAAGAAGGGTAAGGCCCTCAACGAGACGGACTGACCCGGGCTGTGACACTGGGCCCAGACAGAGCCCATTTGGAGGCTGGTGCAGGACTGGGCGGTGTTGCACTGTTGCACGTGGGTCAGGATGAGTCAGAAGCAACTGGTTGGCACCTAACAACTACCTAATGTGTCAAAGAGAAACGGCAGCTCTCTGTATGTATGTGCTTCTTGTCCAAAACCTAAAAGGATACACCTGCTTCTAGTCTTTGTGCTGAAATGCTATACATACCACACAAATATGAAAGTGAATTGAGCCTTCTGGATTTTAACATGAGGTTGGTAGCAGCCCAGGAGTTTGTAAGTGCAATGAGATGCACGACCCTGGAGGACCACACTGCGTGTGGTTCAGGACTCTACCTTAAAGACATGGAAGGCCTCAAACTGGATGTTGCGGCTCTTGTCTCGTAGAAGGTTCATCATTAACTTGAGGTTCTCAGGTTTGCTGATGTACTTCGTCATAATCGTGAAGTTGTGTCTGTCCAACAGCAGCTCCCCGAGAAGCTGGGAAGACATTTAAGCAGTTACTCTCACACTGCCATTCGAAGAACAGCCAAAGTCTTAAACATAATTCATTCTACAATCATCCTTACTAAGCACAGGATGCTACAAAGCATACCAATGACAGAGGAAATGAGCTGCAGACAGGCCTGGAAGCTGTCAAGTGCCTGGTCATTATTTTCCCGCTAGGTGAACACCCACTTGCCTTTAGGAGTTTAGCATTGAAAGTAAGTCTGACAGCACTTTCTGAAGGGATATTCAAAGTGTCTGTGAGACAGTCTGTAAATGCCAAAATGACTGCAAAAAACCTGCAAATTAAAATCCATCTTTAGAGTACCATTGGTCCCCAACACTGCTCCGTGTGTTCACAAGGCAGTCTGCGTGGCCCGCTGCTGTGTGTGTACGTGGCAGTCTGAGTGGCCCAGTACTCCGTGTGTTCACGAGGCAGTCTGCGTGGCCCGCTGCTGTGTGTGTACGTGGCAGTCTGAGTGGCCTAGTACTCCGTGTGTTCAGGAGGCAGTCTGTGTGGCCCGCTGCTCCGTGTACGTGGCAGTCTGTGTGGCCCGCTGCTCTGTGTGCGTATGTGGCAGTCTGTGTGGCCCAGTACTCCATGTGTTCACGAGGCAGTCTGCGTGGCCCGCTGCACCATGTGTGTACATGACAGTTCATGTGGTCCGCTGCTCTGTGTGTGTCCGTGGCAGTCTGTGTGGCCCAGTACTCCGTGTGTTCACGAGGCAGTCTGCGTGGCCCGCTGCACCGTGTGCATACGTGGCTGTCTGCGTGGCCCAGTACTCCGTGTGTTCACGAGGCAGTCCGTGTGGCCCGCTGCTCCGTGTGTGTACGTGGCAGTCTGTGTGGCCCGCTGCACCATGTGTGTACATGGCAGTCCATGTGGCCCACTGCTCCATATGTGTACGTGGCAGTCTGTGTGGCCCAGTACTCCGTGTGCTCATGAGGGAGTCTGCATGGCCCGCTGCTCCATGTGCGTACGTGGCAGTCTGCATGGCCCAGTACTAAAATAATCTGCAGGGCGAGTGCCGTGCTTCACAGCCCTACAAATGACCATAGTCTTAAAAATGGCTGTCCGAGTCTTCCTTCACATGCTGGCAATTCTGAAGTGTAAGAGGTGGTCTCTAAAGCCTTACCTAAGCAGCCCAAGGATCCAGAATTTGGTCAAAGGCTATTAATTTGTCAACAAAAAGCAGTTTCTCCTACGAAGAGGCACAGCCTCCTGTGACTCTGATCCTGCTGCCCATCCACGTTTGTGTAACATTGGGGAGTCCATCCTTGACCTCATGGAGTGGCTCCTGGCACAGGGCTTCAAGGACCTCAGGGAAGACGCCCTATCCTATGTGGTCTATGGCCACACCAGCAAAGCCCCTCTCTCCCACTTCTCAATTTCAAACACAAGGTGAAGAGAAATAAACTATACAAATAAACCAACTGGCATACCTTGAGTGACTGTCTTTTTGTCACATAATTTTCTGAATGAAGTAACTTTTCATATTCACTGAAGAACTAAGAGACAAGATAATACACACCAGGGTTAGTTTAGAGAGGCTGGAAGAATCATGTCACTAGGTGTGGGGGCATTTCCAACACCATAGAGGCCAACAGTTGCCTAAGCATTCCCATTTCCCACTGTTTGCCTGTTTCACACCCTTCTTGTGATGCCCTCGAGAGTATCCCCAGGTGACACCTCGGAGGATCACCTGTCACAGTTATCTCCAAGAAGAGGGCCCCTCCCCCCCAGCCAGGCCTATGTACAGTTCAAAAATCGGGCCCTCTCCTGTCCCTACAAACTCCATCCTTATAAAACTTAACTCCCTTTCCCCCACTGTTGTCAGTTCTCATTTCCAGTGGTTCGATGAGAAAATTCATAGTCTTTACAGATGAAAACTCCACCAGTTTCAAGCACAACATGAAGAGACAAGCAAGGAGAGAACATCATCACACACAGATGAGAGCAGGGAGACAGCACCGCGTCACGTCAACACAGCTGTCCCCGAGGTGGGACTCGGGCTCCAGCCGAGAGAGCCGGTGTATAAAGGGAGGAGAGAAGATGTTCTTGGGGCAGAAAAAGGGAAGATCAGCCTGAGTGGAGACCCAGACAATGAGAAACGGTGTGGGGTTAAGAACCGACAAGTGTGCACTCAATTAACGAAGTGGTCTCTGACAGGCAGAGTTCACTAAAGCGGTCGGGGTGGAGGTGGGTCAAAGCAGGAGGGAGCAAATGGGCAGTGAGGGAAACACAGGGGGCCAAGGGTACACTTTGCAGAAAACTGTGGGGGAGAAGGGAGAGAGGCAGCCAGGAAGGCTGGCATCTGTGTGTGTTCCCAGAACGCCATGGCAGCCTGAGAACCGCCCTGCCTCTGCTGGCTCCCAGCACTTCCCCGAGACGCCGTGTGGTCGCCTGTCTGTACTGTAACTGATGCCCATGCTCCAGGCCGAGCCCTCATCAGCCATCATCTGTGCTTGAAAGCAGGGCTGTCTGTTCTGTAAATGTCACTTTATTGGAGGCCAGTCACACATTTGTTTATGGATCATCTATGGCTGCTTTCGTGCTGAAACAGCTGGCAGAGGTCACATGGGCTGCAGAGCCTCAGGTATGTACAGAAAAGTGCCGTGAGCACCCCCAGAACAAAGCCAGACCTGCTCTCAGGCTGAAGTGGCACGTCCGTCTGCTTAGTAAGCAAGCAGGTTAGACTCCTGCTTTTCAGAAATGCTGTCTCTTCAAATGATCATCAAATTGATAATCCAAACAACTGGTTTTGACTTAATCAGTAAAGAACATTTATACTTCAAGCTCTTGGCAGGAAATGCTATTTTCTGTGGCACGTCATTCTTAGGATAAGCTTGGTTACAAGAAATCACGGCCATGGAGCACTGCCAGGCAAGGCCGTCTGTGGCCTGTGTGGTCCTCCTGGGATGTTAGGTGTTATCCTGGATGAGGACCAGAGGGTGAGGGTGGAGGATGGGCAACGGGCCTGAACCTCTGCTCAGCTCCTCAGAGACACGCTCTCAGGGAATGGCACTTAGCTCAGTACATGGTGGTGAAGTTCTCCTATAAGAATGCCAACAGGAGAAGCGTGTCTCAGGTCCCAGAGCTAGAAAAGGCTATGTTTCTTATGAGCAACTACCATGTATCTTACCTTACAGATATTGTGATCTTTTGATTGATTTAGTGCCTGAGGCATTTGACTGCTAGCCAGAAGGCTGGCGGTTCAAACCCACCAGACACTCTTTGGAAAGAAGGTTGGGCAATCTACTTCCATAGAGATGCTGCCTCAGAAACCCAATGAGGGGTCGCTATGAGTTGGGACCGACTCAATGGCAGTGAGTTTTGGAGTTTTTATGCTTTGGCCATTAGAAAGCTCAGAGCCCTATGAATGATAGAGGCTTTGCCAGAAGAACTAGATGGTGCCCAGCTATCATTACTGAATATACTTATTAAAGATTCTATAGAAAAATACTGATCAAAAGGGGGAAAATGCAGAAGAGAATTTCAAATTCTCATGGAATCCAAAAATATCCCCTGAAGTCTTCTTAAAACCAAACAATAGTTTAGCTTACCCAGTAAAGAACGTCTGCCCTGGTCTTTTAAGAACTATCTATGTGCAATCAAATTGACAACAGCAACTTGAAAGATTAGATAGGAGGCTTAAGAGGCAGTGAGTTTATGATAAGGAGGAAAGAATAACCCAGAGAAAGAGGATGAGAACTGTTGCACATCTTGAAGAACATCATGGAATGGTACACGTATAAATGGTTGGATGGGTGCATGTTTTGCTGTGTATATTCTCAACAACGACAAAAGAAACAGACTTTTAAAGATGGAGCTCAGAGCCCGAATACACAGGAGTTTAGAACATAAAATCAAAGCGTTCTTACTTGGTGTAGCAAACTCACCCTAGGCTCTGAATCACCCAGATGCCCCCATTCTCGTTCCCCCTCCCTCCCCAAGATACCATGGTACCATTAGAGACATTTCCGTTAAACACCTCAAGTAAATTTCTGTTAACTGATATCATCAGTTAACAATGTGGAAGAGAAAATGTAGGGAAATATTTTATAGCAAAATCAAACAGATTCTACTGCCTGTAGTCAATTTCTTGGAAATTAGTCTGCAGTTTTGGTCTGCCTTAAATGAAGACATTAATATGCTTAAAGATTTTTGAACCCATGTGTGATGGTTTCAAACAGCTTACTGTGTTCCAGACCTTATGCACTTTGCACACACACTGTCACAACAGCCCTTGGGGGCGAGCGCTACCATGAGTGTCCTTGTAGGGCTAAGGGTCCTGAGGGCCCACGGTGGGGCGATGGAGGCCAGACTCCAGGTGGGCCGAGGCCAAAGCCCAAGGTCCTAACCACTACACAGGGATGGGAGACAACGACATGCTGCCATTTTAAGCCAACAAACATGACAGGAAACCGACTCCAGTCCAGCGCCACATGGGTGGAGGTAAGAGAAAGGAGCAGCAGTGCTTATGCCCTCCGTGAGGGATGTGCCACGTGCCCAGCGCGGTGCTACGGGAGCGGGAAGGGAAAAGGACGCATACAAGGATTACAAAGTACAGGTTTTCCTGCTAAGAATCTTAGAAAAATCTTGCTGAATAGCAAAGTGAAGAATGAAGTAGTAACGATACTTAGGATTTCAGAAATCTTGCTTACTAGTAGAAGAACTCTCATGGAATAGGGACAGGACTGGAATTTCAATTGGATTGTTACTATCACAAATTCTCTAATGGCATCTGTGAACCTTACACAGCTTGTAAAGTAAACCCTACGCCCTAAGCAAGCTCCTGCGGGCGTCCCGGGCAACCTCCACGGAAAGGTCTAGCCGGCACGGGGTGAAGAGCAGAGGGACTTGACCTGACCGGGGATGAGTATTTGGTGAATTAATGATGTATGTTTCTGTCAGGTCACCCACAAGAGGGGCTGTACTCATAAAGCCCTTTCTCTGCCCAACTTTCCTTGGGTCACAGTGAATCAGTGTATTCAATATAACACTGGCCTGACAGATGCTCCAAGCAAGTGCTGTGGTCGTGTGGATGTGGAAAGCACCAGAGCACTAGCTGCCCCTTGGAGAGGCCTCAGGTCTGTGAGCGGGCCCCATCTCGTGTCGCCTACCCTGCAACATCCTGCCCTGAAAGCCCTTCACACCCAGGCTTTCGCCTCGGCCCAGACCCGAGGCTGCTGTGAGGCTCACAGGCTGAGTGTCAGCCGAGCACTGAGCATCACTGACCACCCTCAGGGCATCACCATCACCTGGAGTGCAGCATCAACACCACGCTGGAAGGGCCCTTACCACGGGCTAGTCCACACCCTCATCTTACAAATAAGCACTGACTTCTAAGTCCCTGCCCACGCGGGTAGATGCCTTGGCCGTGACCACAAGGAGTCAAGGGCAGAACGGGAGCAGGACCCAGGGTCCTGCCTGCTCCAGTGCAGGGAGTGCCTCCACCTGGCAGCTGCTGTGGCCCCTGCTCACTCTACCTGGAGGCAGCAGGAGTGCAGAGCGAGGGATGGGAAAGGAAGGCAGGGTTAATCTTCCATAGTGAGCTTCCTCTGATCGTAAGTGCACTATCATTCAGTAGCAAAAATGCTGTAAGGGCAGTGTGTCAAGCACCAAGATCAAATCCAAGTTCTAACGCTTCATATGCTCTTTCAGCAGGAAAACAACACTGAGGATTATGCGTTGTTTAAAAACATGACTCACGCAAAGTAAACATTCTGCTACAAAAGTGAACTTCACCTTTCATTTCTGGTCACGGAAAGCTGGGCTATGCTTTGCTCCTGGGCCACATACTTACTCGGTCATAATGCTGCTCCAGAAACTCTGCACTGAGCAACTTGTGTCTTGTAAGTAAATCCTAAAGCAAAAAATAGAAAAAAAAAATTATTCTCCATCCAAGGCTTTCTTTTCTCCCAATTAAAAGAGAATTCTAAAACATTCCATGCCATTTTACCTCATAAAAACTGTTGTTAAAATTGCTACACTTAAATACATTTGAGCGTAACTTTTACTTGAGATGTTGATCCTATGCAAGAGTAAATAAAATGATTAATGACTTGAAATTGTGATTTTTCACAGTATATGATTACCTGCAGGTCTATAGCTCATAGAAGCAAAACTGAAAAATAAAACAAAAAAACAAAAAAGACAACCAGACAGATAAGGAATGGAGACACACACTTAAAACAAGGACTGAAGAATTATAGGGAAACAGGAGTAAATGGCTGTGGTAAAATGTGTCCGAGAGTGCCGCACCCATTGAGTAGTGTGCTCCTGCTGAAGAAAGAGGAAATGTCTTCATTAGGACAAGTCCTGGAGATCCCACTTTCTTCTTCCGATTAACGTTACCTCCACTGTTAACAGTGAACGCAACCTTACCTTGGACATAAAATAGTTTCCGAAAGCCCCTCATTGTGACATCAAGCTCAACTGGCATAACATACTACACAAAAACATTGTTCCACATCCTACTTTGGCGATGGTGACTAGGACCTAAAAAGCTTGCAAGCGGCCATCTAAATGCAATAATGGGTCTCTCCTCAGCCAGAGCAAAGAAGAATGAAGAAAACTAAAGACACATGGAAATAATTAGTTCAAGGGACTAGTAGTACACCATGCGATTCTCAGCCTATACAACTGAGACCAGAAGAACTGGATGGTGCCTGGCTACCACTGTCAACCACTTGGAGGAGGATCTATGTAGGAGATCCTGGATAGAGTGGGAGAACAATGTGAACAAAATTCAAAATTATTAAAAAAAAAAAAAGGGGGGGGGGCACACACCAGGTTTGCTGGTCAGATAGAACCTGGGGTGGAACCCCTGAGATTACAGCCCCAGCTGCCCTTCACGTCTGGAATTGAACCCACTCCTGTGGCTTCCAGCCAAACAAAAGACAAGCATATGAGCTGAACATTTATATTAGGTAGATACACTCCTTGGAGAGATCAATCATGAGAGAACAGAAAGACTGTGTATGCACAGGGAGACAGCTTGGGGGGCAGACGTGCATGGGAGGGAAAGATACAGGGAAGAAGTGGCTATAGGGAGGAAGTGGGAGGGGAGCTGTTGCATTGCAGGAGATTACAGTCAATGTCATGAGACAAAGAATATGTGAATTGCTGTATGAAGATGAATTTGCTCTGTGAACTTTCACCCAAATCATTTAAAAAAAAAACACAAAAAAAACCCCTTGTATTTATTATAAACATTAGCTCCAAAAGTAAGCAGAATTATGCTGTAAAAATGAGGAATTAAAAATGACTGTCCTGCAGTCTCATTCTGCATTCCAAGAGTACCTACTATGTGCCAGGGAAAGTTCTAGGTGGTGGGGCTACAAAGACAAAAATATATGGTCCCTGCCTTCAAGGACCTAAAAGCTGGCAATGGCCTAGCCTTGCTCTTAGCAGAAGAGGAAAGAGAATGGGGACACGTGCCAGGAGGAGCGGCCAGTCAGTTTCTGGTGAATTGATGACGTATGTTCCCGTCAGGTCACCCACAAGAGGGGCTGTACTCATAAAGCCCTTTCTCTGCCCAACTTTCCTTGGGTCACAGTGAATCAGTGTATTCAATATAACACTGGCCTGACAGATGCTCCAAGCAAGTGCTGTGGTCGTGTGGATGTGGAAAGCACCAGAGCGCTAGCTGCCCCTTGGAGAGGCCCCAGGTCTGTGAGCGGGCTCCATCTCGTGTGGCCTATACCCTGTAACATCCTGCCCTGAAAGTCCTTCACCCGGGCTTTCCCCTTGGCCTGCATGCCCACAGCACACTTCAGACCTCCACTCCCACGGTGCTGCATGGGCATCCTTCCGACTGCTCTCCCACATCAAAGCACTGGTCACAGCTGTGCCGGGATCTGTCTGTGGTGTTATTTAACTAGTGTCTCTCTCCCACTGGCCTGTCAACTCCATCAATGCAAGGGTCATGTCCATTTTTATTACCTTAGAATCCCAGCACCTGCACAGTACCCAGTACCCAGTAAGATCTTAAAGAACAGTAAGTAATTAAACGAGCCAACAAAAGTCAGAGAACACGTTTGGAAAAACACCACACTAACCAACCTTCAAAGTTTGCTTTTAAGCATTTTAGGAGCTCTGGTGGTCTAGTGCCTAAGGCATTTCACTGCTAAACAGAAGGCTGGTGACTCAAACCCACCAGCTAACTCCTCGAAAGGAAGGTTGGGCAATCTACTTCCATAGATATACTGCCTCGGAAATCCAAGGAGGAACCCACCAGCTAACTCCTCGAAAGGAAGGTTGGGCAATCTACTTCCATAGATATACTGCCTCGGAAATCCAAGGAGGGGTCGCTATGAGTCGGGTCCGACTTGATGGCAGTGAGTTTGGTTCAGTTTTCTCAATGGCTTTGGGGTAGGTTGAAAAGGGGTGCTCCAGATTTAAGGAGCAGCTGAGCCCCAACTCGTGATGGGATGAGTCCTTCGTTGGGAAGGTCCCTCGAGAGCCTCGAGGGCCTAAAGGCAGAAGAGGAGACGCTGTGAAGAGGGAGCAGTGGGCAAAGGCCCCCATGAAGCTGGGAAGGGCAGGAGGTGGGGACAGGGCCGGGACCTTACTCCTGAGACAAGGAACTTCAGCCCGGGAACCGAAGCTAAAACTTTTGGAGGACTCACACCAGGATTAACACAGCAGAATAGAAAAGGACAACAGTGAGTACCTGGCCACTGTCCAGCACCTGGGTACACGTGGGCTAGACCAGCAGAGGTGGTCGGTGAGCCATCGAGGGGAAGAAGGAAAGGACCCCAATCTCCCACCTACTGGAATTTCAGTCTATCCCAGGCCATGACAGATCTCGAGGAAATGCTGGGGCTCATACCCCAAGTCCAGCAGACTGAGGAGCCAAATTTTAGAGTGGGCTGAACAAAAAAAGAGCCCTAAAAGGTATGTGAGTTTGGGCCCCAAACATCAAGTAAAAAGCCAGCCCACTAATCCCTGAAGACTTACCGCTAACCTGGGAGTATATTTTCAGAGTCTTGTCAAGTCTGACTATTGGGCCCAATTTCTTATTTGATGCTTGACTATGTCCAAGGACAAGGAATTCAATTGTTCCAACTGTGGTTCGCTTTTGTGGCTCTTCTGGTGCAGGTGTTCTTCCTGCACTAACGCCAAAACCTATGCCCGGTGATTTCCAAAAACCGTCAGAGCCAACTCAACACATACAACCCACACTCCGTAGGACCTAACTTCAAACACAAGCAGAGCTGCTGGCAGTCCCTCCCAGGTTTTCTCTTCTGCAGGCTAAACAGGTCCAGCTCCTTCAACCACTCCTCCAACGGCAGGTGCTGAGCCCTCACCACTACTGTCTTCTGGAAGGCATCTGTTTCTCTGCGTGTGGCGCCTGTACAGAACACACTTAGGTGCTGTTCCCTGAGAAGCTTATAGGTGACTGAGCCCGTCACTGAGCTCCTTAGGTTACAAGCTATGTTACTGCATGTTGCTTCTGGGGCAGCAGCATCCCACTATTTAACTTCACTGCCTGGGTTCAAATTCTGCCTCTCCCACTTAGTGACTGACTTTTATTCAACATGTCAAGGCTTCAGTTTCCTCACCTGTAAATGGGATAACATACCTCCTTCATAGGGCTTTGTGTGCATGATGCAGAATTACCTACAGCTCAGTATTACACACAGTAACCACTGCGTTTTGTAATGATTAACTTACTATGATGCCTTATTCTCCATCTCCTATTTATACAGGTGGGTCTTCAAGTGGAAGCCTTCGGTTATCTACATGTGATTTCATCCTGTTGCATTCTGGCCTCTCTGGTCCTTATGGATCCACTGTTCTCTGCTATCTTTCCCATCAAGGTTAGTACTTGTGCACGTGAAAAGTGTGCCTGGTCACCCTTCATCTAAGTCATCCATGAACATGTTCAAAATGGTAGGGCTGAGTGAAGGCCCATAGACCCCTGTCTCCAGAACGATAGCAATCCACTTACTGGCACCATGTGGACACGGTGTTCAATTAGGTGTGTGTCCCCTACCCTGAAACTCTACTGACCTCAAGATTTCCTATTGTTTCCATGAGAATCCACTTGTAAAATTCTTTAAGGTCCAGGACATTCTCACTGCCATAGAGGAATGACTGTCATGCTATTCACTGCACACGCACTGTGTGAGGGACAGAGTCTTGACAGACTGCTGTATTCACCCACATGTCACAGGGGAGGAAACTGAGGTCAAATCAATGGGAGAGCTGGGATTTGAACCCAGGCAGCCATGCTCTTCCCCACCCTCATCTACTGGCATCTAGGAGATTAGAAGGGCTGCACTCATTCTTGGTGAGTCCATGTTGGGTGCGAGCACCTGGCTTTCTTTCCAAAATCCTCAGGAACCATCTCTTTGGAAATACTTTCTAGAACCTCACACAGGAGAACCATCAAGCTCTACGCTCCACCGTCCTCTCTGGGTACCCACCTTCTCCTACTCTGGAAACTGGAAATATATGCGTTGGCCTTCTGATGCCCCTCCCCATCTACTTAATTCCTCAAAAGAGAAAACACATCACTGCTGCCAGGAGTTGGCCCTTGGGCTTGTGAGGCCAGCGCTCATTCCTTCAAGCTAAGGCTCTCACACATGTTCAGAGCAGGAAGCTTTAACCTCCTTTTGAGACTCTGCACCTGCTCTGGGGCTTTCAATCCAGGGTCACGGCTGAGCTGCGTCTGTCTGAAAATGTTTGGGTGCAGAGGGTATTTTCTGGGGAGATGACTCTTGTTACTCTCTCAGACGCTCTAGTTTCCTTTTCCACTACACAGTGGATGGAACCCCACCAGGAGAAGCACTGCTTCCCGTCCTGCTGGCTGTGAAGGCTGATGGCCTCCCCTTGGGTCTGTCTCTTGGCTCCAACTGCAGTTTCCTTCATGGAGTGGGAAAGTAACTTCAGTGGGGTCTGGCGGTGGGGCCACCCAGAGCTGACGATGGTAGGTCTGTGCCTTTTCCTATTGGCTGTCTTGCTTATGGGCTCGACTCTGCTTGCTGGAGGGCTGTCTGCTCAGGTGCCTCTTTCATTAGCTCCCCCACCTGCTAGGTAATCAGGCTTCCCCAGGACTCACAATCCCAATCAGCTTCTCAAGGCTCTCTCTTCCAGAGCTCACGCTTGGGACCTGGAGCTGCCTTGTGAAGTCTCTCCCTTCTTCAGGTGGAGACCACCTACCGGGCTCCGCCCTGTCCTCCCCTTCCTGCTACCATGACTTACCCGGCTCTGTCCTGTCCTTCCCTTCCTGGCTACCATGACCTAACAGGGCTGTGTGTCCTACAATTACGCTATCGTGATCATTTTCTCCTTGGTGAGGATTTAATTCAAGGAAGCAACCTGAACTGAGATGCAACTAGCAGCAAGGCCAATCAAGGCTGTGTCTGACATTGCATATCACATGATGGCATACAGGCAGCACACCCCTCTCCCCTCTCGGCCATTTGCCATCTCTGCCAGGAGTGTATCAGCCACATGAGCTGGGGGCGTTCTCCCACCACACTGCTCCTCTCTCTCTCACCCCCTGTGCCCCAGTGGCCCACCTTTGGGCACATGGCTTCATTCCGCAGGTGTATCTCGTCTTGACACATGGTGCTACACCTTCCGTCCTAACAGGCGTGGCTGCTCTGAATGGGGCACACCCTTTGTCCCTGTGTTCTCAGCAGGAGTCCTAGCCCACCAAGGCTGGTGATGCCTAGGCATCCTACTGACCACTCTGGGCAGCCGTCTCAGATCCACTGACCCATGAACATCCCAGTCTGATCAGTGCTTCCAACACCCTTCTTAATCATTTGGGACATTAACCATCAGGCACTTTTCACAGCTTATTCTCATTCAATGTGAAACACTCACAGGTGCTCAGGCTTTCAGCCCAGCTTAAGTTTAGGCACTCATGTCTTCTGGGGGGCATACCTCACCCAGATGCTCTTCAAAATCATAAAGCTAACTGGACACAAGAACCGTGGCCACTTCTCACTGTCAGTGTTCACGGTCTCTTAGCTTGGTAGTCTACATGTCAGTATGCTAACATCTGTTGTTGTTGTGTGCCATCAAGTCGGACTGACTCATAGCGACCCCTCCTTGGGTTTCCAAGGCAGCACCTCTACGGATGTAGATAGCCCTACCTTCCTTCCAAGGAGTGGCTGGTGGGTTTGAACTGCCAGCCTTCTGGTTAGCAGTCAAGTGCCTTAGGCACTGAGCTCCTATGCTAACTCCTACTATATTAAAATAATATTTCTAAATATTCACTTATAAAGTCTACGAAGATCAGACATTACATACAGGAATGTTGCATATAAAGGCTTGTCCCCACTGTGAAAAACATTAATAAAGAGTACCACTTTATTTGTATACTTTAAACCACATAAAATTCTACCACTGAAAACCAAAATGTGCGAGTCACACAACGGTGCATGCTGTGTTGCTGTACTCCACGCCCCTACACGACAGGGGAGGTGCTGGGCATGGCGCGGTGGGCCGCTGCTGCTGTGATAAACCCGCTCTGGCCGGGCAGAGGGGGAGAGAGCAAGTCCACTGTCTCCCATCACAATGTGGACATCTCTGTCCTAAACGTTCCTGTATACAAAGACATGTATATTTTAAACCAGGATGGCCCCGACAGACGTCAACTCCTTCATCTAGTGCTTAACCAAAGACACTGCTGCAATGACTTCCTGTGCGTCTGTCATCTGTACTAAACAGGTACTTTAACAGAGTTTAAAGTATCATTTTGACCACACAGGACTTCTGCCTCTTAAGACTTTAGAATCTAACTTCGCCACCCCTTCTAGGATGTGACCATCCTGCATAAACCTGAGCAACACGCACCCATGACCATGAAAGCTTCTCTTTTCCCACTAGAGGGCGGCAGTGTGTAGACCAGGAAGGCAGAGGAGGTTTAGGGAAAACAGTGGGCCTGGAGTCTGACTTGCAATTCTGTTTAGAACTGTACCGTTTTTATGGACATTACCTTGAAGGTCGCAAATGCGTCTGAAGCGATGTCAAATGTTGACATCTCCACATATCTGAAGAAGTCATCAAACTGTTCCGACCACAAAATGATTTTGGCAAGTGGCTCGTGTCTGATGCACTCCCGTAACATAATTCCACAGTTCAGAGCTATTTCTGGCGATTCATACCTGCAGAAAGAAAGAGAAAGTGTGACCACTCAACTTGGAACACCTGAAGTCTTTACGGCAAGATGTTTTCAGACGCATCCTGACTGCTGTGAACCCGAGGGGGCCCATGGTCACTGCTCTCAGGGAGGGCTTACGCTACAGTGTGCACACATGCTCGAGGTGGTGATGACCACTTCACCCCAAAGAAGGACTCCGCCACAAGGGTGCCCACAAAAGCTGTCCTACAGATACAGCTCAGACTCTATGCTAAATGATCTGAAGAGGAATACTGAGAGTCACCCACATGGGGAGGAGTTTTACATGTGGTGCTCTCCACCAAGAGCAGAATCAAAACATAACCAAAACAAAACACCCATTTTGTTCTAAATTTATCAACATTTAAAAATATGATTCCAAATTCAGAAAGTCATCATATTTCAACAGGCCAAGCAAATAAATATGCAGGCGCTCTGGTGGCACAGTGGTCAAGGCATTTGGCTGCTAACAAAAAGGTGGGTGGTTCAAACTCACCAACTGCCCCCCGGGAGAAAGGTGAAGCAGTCTGCTTCTGTAAAGATGTGCAGCCGTTTGAGGGTCACTACGAGTTGGAATCAACTCGATGGCAATGTGTTCGGTTTTGGTTTATCAAACACACAGCATGTGTACTTTGCTTTGACCCAATACTCAGACTGGTACATTCAAGGACCTCAGCAACATGTTGTTGTTAGCTTCATTATTTAAATTAATTTACAATTAAGTAACTGCACATGGTCTGTAGGTACTGTACTGGACAGCAGGGCTCTATGGCTTGCTTCCTTTTTCTACTTCAAATCTTCTCATGTCATTGTCACCAGTCCTAAATGCTTCACTGAAACATCTTGGGTTCATTTTCTCTCTCCTTTTCCACAGCTGTACTGATTCACACCTAGAACCCTGCAATGGTCTCCTAATCACCCTTCTGTGATCCATTTCTCATCTCTGGGGTTTAGTGGGAAGATGCCATCCCACTTTCAGTGCATGTTGCCGTTTGGTGGAAGCCTGTATAACTGTGTATATAAGCTGAAGAAACAGGCCTCATCCTACCAACCCAGTGACCCCCTTGGAACATATCTGTCCCACTAATTGTATCAAAAATCCTTATTACTTCCCCCAAAAACCTTTTTTTCCCCATCTCATTCAAAATGCCTTCTGTTACTGAAAAATAGAGTTTTAACAAAAAGGCAGAGATAATTTTGAAAGGGTTTACACACTGTCCACCCAAGTCTATCAATAGCGTATCCCTCCATGAGCTTAACAGGCCGCTTCTCTCAGACCGAGGCAAACTCCTGAGCTGAGTCTCCAGGCTCCCCCATCCATCTCCGGTACAACATCGTCTCCCACTCTCTACAGAGCTTGCAGGTGGTCTCCTCATTGCTGCCAGTCGTGCTGGGTCATCCCTGCCCCTGTACCTTTGTGCTCAGTGAGGTGACATGAGAACGTCCTCTCTCTGCCTTGGCACATTCGGAGCCATCTTAAGTCCCTCTCTTTTACTAAGCTTTATCTTCCTGATCAAACCCACATGTTCTTCCCCGAAGTCCTGTAGGACTGATTCATCATCTCAGGTTGTGCCCATGCTCATCAGCGAGCAACATTCTTGTGAAACACTGCAGCGAAGAACTTCCACACTAACTGGCTCTTAGGCTATTTTGTGAACCCACATTTTACCACTATCAGGCTTCACTGATCTTTAATAGGCAGGAGACTAGAAGGACAAGGGTAAAGACAGCTTAGTATAACAAGTTGGGCAAGTTTTGATGGAAGCTTGTCAAGCTTATCTGAAATGTGTACCTCATAACCCAATGAGTACAAGGCAAACACTTTCGCCATACAGCCTATTAAGGCTGGAGCAGAGAGTGTGTTAACATTTAAATGGCCAGTGAAAGCAACTATTGCCTCCAAATGCAGTGTAACACCAGCTACAAGATTATTTTCAAATATATACTAATACTGGTGAGTATAACAAAAAACAAAACCACTGCCATGGAGTCAATTCTAATTCACAGTGACCCTATAGGTCAGAGTAGAACTGCCCCCAAAGAGTTTCAAAGGCTGTCATCTTTATGGAAGCAGACTGCCACAGCTTTCTCCTATGCAGAGGCTGGTAAGTTCAAATTGCATGCTGAGGCCATAAATACTTGAATGTTTGATATTTTGGAGAAGTATGCGGTCTTCCAGTTAGCAGCTGAGTGCTAGAAGGGCTCCTTACTGGCTGCTGCTGTTAGGTGCTGTCAAGTCAGTGCCAACTCACTTTAACTCCACATACCACACTGGCCAGTCCTGCGCCTTCCTCACGGCCACGGCTGAGTCTGGGCCTACTGCGGCAACCACTGTGTCACCCTGTTACTGCGGCAACCACTGTGTCACCCTGTCCTGGTGAGGTCTTCCTCTTCTTCTCTCACCCTCTACCAGGCATGACGTCCATCCTTCTCCAGGAATCAGTCCCTCCTGGTAATATATCCAAAGTGCTTGAGACAAAATCTCTCCATTCTCACGTCTAAGGAGCATTCTGGCTCTACTTCTTCCAAGACAGCTTGGTTTGTTCCTCTGGGAGTCCACGGTAAATTCAATATTCTTTGCCAACACCAAAATTCAAATGCATCAGTTCTTCTCCTTTGTTCATTGTTCAGCTTTCACATGCATATGAGGCAACTGAAAATACCGTGGCTTGGATCAGGCACATCTTAGTCTTCAAAGTGACTTCTTTGCTGCTGAACACTTTAAAAAGGTCTTTTGCAGCAGGTTTGCCGAATGCAATACATCATTTGATTTCTTGACCGCTGCTTCCATGGTGCTGACTGTGGATTGAAGTAAAATGAAATCCTCGACAACTTCAATACTTTGTTTCATTGGCAGTATAAAAACCAAAACCAAACCCACTGCTGTCCAGTCAATTCTGACTCACAGCGAACTCTATATAGGACAGAGTAGAACTGCTCCATAGGGTTTTCAAGGCTGTAAATCGTTACAGAAGCAGACTGCCACATCTTTCTCCCACAGTGTAGCTGGTAGATTCAAACCACTGACTTCTGGGTTCGCAGATGAATACTTTAGCCACTGTGCTACCAGGGCTCCTATTATCAGTATAATTCCCCCAAAACATCCAGCATCAAAGTATTTATAGCCCAAGTAGATGATTACCTAGTATGGAAGTAGTCTAAACTAATTAATCAGCAAAAGTACAAAATGTTAAAAGGCTCCCTGACCAGGTCTGAGGCAGGAAGCGTACAAAAAGAACAAGGGGACATCCTGAACCAGAAAGCAAGGAAGCTACCAAAGAAAAAACTGAGTCCAGTCCTGTCAAAATGACATAGGAGGCACCTTGAAGAAACTCCCAGTGGCCTAACATGGGACAATTTCACAATGATGCTTAAAACAGTAACATGCTCGTCAGTCATCTATGGAAGTGGCTAGAGCACCAACTGATTAAAGAAAAAACCAGTAACTCAAGGGACAGAATCAAGCATTTGCCCTATGTTTCCCATTCAGCTTGTCTTTTGGGATTGGTAAAGAAATGTTCTTCTTTAAAGAGACACATTTAATGGATAAGGAAGAATGATAGCATTAGGGAATTTTGAATGGAGGGGATGACCTCACTGGATACCAAAGCCATTAGGTGACAGGGTGGTGGGGAACTTTATAAAGACCAGAATAGACTGACAGCTCCCAAATCCACTGATCACTCTATTCAATGAAATGGGATAACAGTGTCACCCAATAGGAAACACACAGCCTATGCACATGAAGCATACTCCAGAAAGAATTCCTGCCCCCCCCAAAAAAACCTTAATCTTAATCTAATTAAACGCTAGGTGTAATCACCAATTTAAAGAAATAAGGGGATGGAGGAACATGTTAAATGAAACCACAAGGATGCAAATCCAAAATATGTGATCTTTCTACCAAACAAATGACCCAGAGTTGCATCAACAAATGGCAAAAATTGAAAATAAAAGAGGAAGGACAGGTTCTATTATAGATTAAATGGAAGCTAAGAGTCATATCAGCTCTGGTGGCATAGTGCCTAAGGCACCTCACTGCTAACCAGAAGGCTGGCAGTTCAAACCCACCAGCCACTCCTCGGAAAGAGAGCTGGGCAATCTACTTCCGTAGTGATACTGCCTTGGAAACCCAAGGAGGGGTTGCTATGAGTCAGATCCTACTCGACAGCAACTAACAACAAAAACAACAACAAGTCATATCAATCTAATTCAGTTTATAGACCGTGTTTGTACCTGAGCTAAACAAAGGTACAAAATGACTTTTTGTGGAAATCAAGGAAATGTGCAAAGTTAGTGGGCATCAGACAATGCTGGGTTTGTAAATGGTATCATGATGGCATTAAGAAAACCACGCATCAGGGAGGGATACTGAAGTCGTGTTCCATGCGAGGCTGCGGGGCGGCAGGACAAGGAGGCTAACCACTGCTGAGGCTCGGTGATGTGTCTGTCACTCCCTGTAGTTTCTGTGTATTTTCTACAATGAAGGCTAAAAGGGGGAGGGGAGGAGCGGCTCCTCTTGGACCCCACCCCCGCCCCCCACCCCCCGCCTCCCAGCTGCATCTCCATGTTCCTTCTCCTCTCCTCCCTGGCTGAGGTTTCTGCTCTGGCTGGTTCAGATGAGGGCTTAAAACTTTTTCTTTAAATTGTATCTCAAAAGTCTTACTTATGGTGATTAAAATGTTCATATTAAACTCTTGGCTAGAGTCAACTCTGAAGAAAATTTAGGCAATGTTAACTAATTTATGGATTTTTAATAAGCACTGGTTTCTATGGAAAAAGAAACTGGCTTAAAAATACACCAGGGCATGTGGAAGCAGATCTGAGCACATCAACCCACCAGACGCTTCACTCAGTACCTGTTCCCACATGCAACTCCGGCTCGACGCAGCCAGGCCCTGCATGCCAGAAGCCCTGCACAGTGGTGCGTGCGTGCGTGCGTGCATGCGTGCGGTCTGAGACAGGGAGGGAGCTGGTGGGCGGGAATTCAGAGCAGGCACCTACTCGGGCTTTGTCTCCACAAGCTTGAACTTGGGGGAGTGAAACTGCACAGACAGGAATCAGAGTGAGGCAAGCTGTACAGCTGGGGGTAGAACAGCAAGCTGACTCATGTCAACAGTCAGGGAGTCACATGCTTGCCCACCAACTTAATACACCAAAAATGCTCAGACAAACAGATGCAGACTGTCCCGGGACGGGCAACAGTGCTGGTGTGAACAACAGCAGGCTGCCCGGCCAATCAGGGAGGTCCGGTGACGAGGGAGAAGAGAAACTGTGTTGTTTGTTAAAGTTTTAGTGTTAGGCTTTTTGGGTTTGTTTGTTTTTTAAACTGACAGACTACTACGCAAACATAAATGCCTGCTTAGTGCAGAAATAACTCCAGGAAGATGTGGTCCTGTGAATTACCAAACTAAGTTAGTGAATGGCCACATTAGGCAGACAGCAGAGACGGCTGCCTCACAGACACAGCCTTGGTTGACTTAACCAAGGGTAGGTATCATGGCAGCTCTGTCCTAAAGTCTGCCCAGTGCCCAAGCTGTCTCAGCTCTTACTGTCTTACAATGTGCCCAGTGTCCACTGTTTACCTGATATTGTAACAAAATTCAAACGTTTGATCTTCCAGAACGGACGTAAGACCATAGACATCTGTCTTTTCCCTTCTTCAGTCAGGTTTGAGTTGTGAATCTGAGGCTCACAATTCACCTGACTTTAAATTCCTCATTAGTAGGGCGTTTTGAAATTCAATTTAGCTCACAAACTGAATTTTAAGGAGGGGCGTATGCTGGAGATCTATGGGACAGTGGCGACCAAATGACAGAGAAAGTGCTTCCCCCACCTTCACCCTCCTGGCTTTGCTCCAGGCAAACTTTCTTTTTTATTTTTGAACTAAAAATATAAATTTTATTACATTGTACATACCCTTTCAATAACATGAACAAAATATTCTGTTGGGTGCAGATGTATTCAACAGTAGGAGTTCTTGTACCAATTTGTCTTCTGAGAATATTGTTGAAAATTTGAGCCACGTCTTTTTTGCCCTGTTAGGAATACAATCATTAAAATATTTACTTGACTAAACATAAAAATGCCCACCCACCCTCCCAAATAAACTCAAATAAAAGCATTGTATATTTATAGTGATGACTGAGTATCTGACTTAAAAGCTTCAAAGACATTAGCATTTTCTTACCTCTCTTCATTTATAATTCCCAATTCTAAGTTTTGATACTTCTACTATTTTTCACGTGAACCATGTGCTGACCAAGTGAAATCTCACTACATTCCCCACAGAACTTGAACCGTTTCTCACTCAGAATCATGCTGACTCAGACGTGTAAGCAACAAAGCCCTGCTACCGGTCACGGTGCACCCAACATGGAGCAAGCTCCTACCATCAGACAGGACATTCGAGCTGGAGCCTCTACTTCCCTCTTAAATGACAGAGGGGAGGAGAGGGGAGGAGAGGGGAGGGGAGGGGAGGGGATTCTGCAAGTTCAGCCTTAATGTCAAGTAGGATCCCGGCACGTGCTCCTTAAACAAGGTCTACTTAGGAAAAACTTTATAGGGATTAATAATGAAGGAGCCAAGTATTGCAGGAAGCACAACTTCATTACATTGTTGTACTTTATCAATCAAATGGACGGGCAGTGTTACCATCCAGGGAACCTCAGAATCAGAAGAGTGCACAGCCCCGTTCCAACACCCAGCCTGAAGCACAGAGACCACCTTGGGGCACGTGCCATCTTGGCAGCAGTAACAGCACTCTCCAAGAACTGGTCTCAAGGGCACATTTTTTTTTTTTTTTTTTAAATTGATGTCTTCAAAGTTCCAAACGACTATTCAGTTCTATGTCCAGGTTGGGCGGTGGGGTGGGGGTTGAGCAAGGAGGACTAGCTGTTTCAGCCCATGGCCAGCTTCCCGGAGGAAATAAAACTGGTGCTGGAATTTGACAGACTATCAAAACACGTGAAATCAGTTATGCAGGGAATACCCTAGCTCTTCTACCTGCTGTACAGTAGGAGAGAAATATAATTTTATTTCTCCTCTGAATAAAAATTTTATTATCAATATTATAAAATTCAAGTAACTTATGAACCACCCCCTCCCACCCCTCCTCAAACTTTAATCTGGTTACATGTCTCTCATTTTCTCCCCTGTAACGTGCACCTGTCTTTCAAGCACCTCTGCAGACATCCAGTTACTCAGGCTGACAAACACTGGGGCTTCGAACAAAGCCCACCCCTGACAAAGAGAGGAGGGAAGACTGTCCTGCCCATGCCAGGCCTCCGTCACCACGTACACCCCTGGACTGAGCAGGCTCAGGGACCATTCTTCTCAGGGTTAAACTCACTATTAATTAGCAGGGCATGATCCAGCTATAAAAGCCTGGCAAGAGGGCCGGGCAGGAAATGCACATGGGTGTAGCTGGCCCTGAGAAGACAGCAAGCTATGCGTCTGTGGAGGTCCTGCGTGGAGGACGGTGGCTGTGCGCTAGGTAGGGCCCCCAAAGACTGCAAGCCCAGAGCGGAATGATGCGTGTGATCTGCTTTTTCAGTGTTAGTGAACAATCTAAAAGCACTGCTGAGCAGAAACCCACGTGAGGCAGAGACTGCGGTCTCTGCTGTAACGAAGCTTTAACAGGTAAAACAGATACAGCAAACCTGCAAAGCCAGAACCCGTGTAAGGCAGAGACCCGTCAGAGAAGAAAAATTCAAAATTTTCTATTAAAATGAGCGAGAGGAAAGTGGTTGGACCACACCCTGTCGAAGATGGAAAACTTGTGAGACCTGGAAAAACAAGGCAGCCCCGTTGTGTTCCGGCTCTCATGGGTTTCACTGTGTAACTGGACGTTCTCTAAGATGTCATCTACCCGTAAAACTCCAACCTTCTTTGATCTCTGTTTATTTCCTGAGAGCCAGGCACTGCAGTGCTCCAACAGCTGCTTCTTATATACGGCCTGAGCAAGAGGGCAAACGAGTACCTACGAAGTCCACGGACATGCAGTGAAACAGGGGAGCAGCTTGGTAACAGGGCCTGTGAGCCCCGGGCTGCGGGTGCAGCAGGAACCCTAACGTTTCAAAGGACAGAACACACGGAGAGACCGAGCGCAGCGTTCTGTTCCTGAAAGACAAAACCCCGAGTGCGCACCTCGAAGTCGATGAGCTGCAGGTCGGCCACCAGCGTGCTGAGCAGGCCGCTGTTGTAGAGCTCCTGGGCGAGCTGGGCCACGGCCTCCGTCTGCGGCTCCTTCTCGTTGGTGCCGTACAGGATCTCCTTCATGGCAACGAGGTTTTTGGAAACTTCTTCCGTAGCCTGGTTTTGAGGGGAGGGGTTGGGGAGAGAGGAAGAAAGCATTCATTTTAAAAAACATCCCCGTACCTACACGTGTTAGTACTTTCACTCTGCTCTGCACCTATAGGACCACACACAGCACCCAAAGGTGGGCAGGGCCCTCCCACCCTCAAGACACACACTGGACGCAGGCCTGTGCACGTGTGCTGAAACACTGGTAGAAACAGAATGCAGAAAGGGCTCCACAAGGGACCCCAATTCGTCCTTGAATGGGGGGATATCAGGGAAGAGGCGCCTGAGAGGACGCAGAGTGGACAGCTTCTGACAAGCGAGTGTGGGGACAGGAACAGGAGCCAGGCTGAGGGAGAGAGAAGCACAGAGCATGTCACAGGCGAGACCCGGAGGGAAGAGCAGTGAGGGTGGACAATGAAGGTGAACAGGCCTTGACCACAAGGCTAAGGGGCAGCATGAGGGAGCTGCCCTTCTGGCCAAGACAGAGGACCAGGCAGAGAGTCACTTCCCCGTCCTCTCCAAAAGAGGCTAAAAGCCAGACTAACACAGATGAAACCATGACTCTTAGACACTGGACTCCATGCGGCACTGGACAGCGGTTCCTGAGAGAAGGGAAACAAGCGCAGTGGCCCTCGGCCTCGCCCTCTGCCTGCCGTGTCCAGCCACAGCGCAGGGAGGGAAAAGCCGAGAGTTATCTCCAAGGGCTGAGGAGATGGAACTGGGAATCGGGGCGTCCTCGACACGCTTATAAATCATTGTCCTAATAATCCCAGTGGGAATCCTCACTCAGAATCAGCGGGCAGCCACGGCTGAGTTTTCTTGACCTCTTGCAGCCTACTGCTACCTCACTGTACTCCGTAACGTGCGGGGGTTTCTGGCAACAGCTCTCCACCCCATACTCAAACTGAATAGCCCAGAATGTAATTTTTCTGGGCCAGGAGATTAAAAAGTTTCGCAGCAGTAAGTGTTTTCTTATCATCTAAGTCCATGTGCTGCTTTTTCAACTCCATTTGATTAATCTTTATCCTGAGCAGGGAATGTGACGGTCTGTCACGTTTCCCGAGTGTGCCACCTGCTGGCTTTCACCAGTGGCCCTAAGGAGTCAGTCCAGCTCCCTTTGCTCCTCTGGCTGAACCAACATTTTGAAGTTCCTTGGCAACTTCCACAGACCTCGGTTTATGCTCTTCTTTGAATCATCACAGGAGTTTGAATTTGAATTCAAACCACACCCTGAGCTCTCTGGTAACAAAAGGTGAACAGAAGGCAGGGGAGAGGCGGGGAGGCAGAAAGCTGGCTGCGGGTCCTTCGGGCTTGAACGGCAACCTGTCCGCCATTGCTCTCAACATCAGTGGACACCCGTCACCTGCTGACCCTATTACCCTTCCACCGGCTGTGGCTCCTGGCTCTCCTGCCTTCCCAGGACCCACCCTGTCTACTACCCAGGGCTGTGAACAGGCTCATTCCAGCTGCAGCCCCTGCTGAGAATTCGCATTTCCACCCCAAACCTACTGACCAGAATCTACAAGACCCCAGGTGACGGAAAGGGAAGAATCACTTGGTCGTCTGTAAGGGTCACCGGGGGTCTTCTTAAAATGCAGACTGACTCAGCAGATCCCGTGGAAAGGCAAATCCTCAGCAAGGGGTCCAACCGGAGTGAACCGGTTTGAAGCCCTGCGCTCATCTCCTCATATATTCAACTTCTTTCAACTTCTTTTTCTCCCTATTAGTTTGTAAGCATGATCAAGACTCCTGTTAACAAAATCAAAGAAGCTCTCCCTCAACCCCACAAGTTCTTTTCAGCCACCACCAACTCCATTAATTAAACCTCCGAACACCTGCTTGTTTCTGCTCTTCAGTCACGCTCTAACCCCTACCCTTGGCTATCACACCTAGTATCTGACTGGCTTTGGTCAGTCACCAATGACCTAGATGCCATTAAATACAATTTTCCACCTTCGTTACATGCAGGCTCTCAGCAGCGTGGGAGGCTGTTGGCTACACCCTCTCTTTAGAACCTCTTTTTCCTTGTCCTCTGTGACTTGGTCCCCACCATCATCTCTCTCTCTTAGCTTTCTGGCAGGAGCAGCCCTAGTGGTGGAGTGGGTAAAGCACTCAGCTGCTAACTGAAAGGCCAGCAGTTCAAACCCACCAGCCGCTCAGCAAGGCAAAGATGTGACAGTTTCCTTCTACAAAGATTTACACCCTTGGGAGGCCCGATGGGGGTGTTCTTCCCTGCGCTACAGGACCCTGTGAGTTGGAACTGCCAGCAGTTGGGTTTTGGGTTCTCTCTGGTTGCTCTTTCTCTGTCTCCCTTTTGGCTCACCCCCAACTAGGTTATTTAAATACTGGCCATTCCTAAAGGCAGGGTACTGGGCCGTCTTCTCATGTTGTAACCTCTCTCTAAGTGATCTCATCCACTAAACCTATTGTCATGGAGTCGATTCCGACTCACAGGCAACCCTACAGGACAGACTAGAACTGCCCCATAGGGTTTCCAAGGCTGTAAATCTTTACATAAGCAGACTGGCACATCTTTCTCTCACGTAGTGACTCGTGGGTTCAAACTGTCAACGTTTTGTTCGGCAGGACAGCTCTTAACCACTGCGCCAGCAGGGCTCCTTGATCTCATCCCCACTCACCTTCAGTTATCATCCAGACCCAGGTGCCTCCCAGATGCCTATCTCTGACCCAGGCCTCTTAGCTGAGGTCCATACCAGTACCCAGTTAGCCCACTTGTCGAGTTTGCTTCACATTCATACCATTTTGCTTTCACTGAAGACCCACGTCAGCACCTGTTTCGCTAACTGAAAGAAATCTGAAATCCAGAGGATTTTTGCTTTTATGAAAAAAGGCAAACAATGAAACTAGCATTCAGTGTTGGTTTTGCAGCGAGCTGTTAAAGAGACAGTGCACACCCCAAACAGTGAGAGCGGCATCACCAAGCTCCTTCCCTGGGAACTACACTCAGCATCAAGTTACCAAAGCTTAGAACCGTGTCTGTGAACACTATGTATGTGTATGTATGGATATATACATACCAAACCCACTGCCATCGAGTCGATGCCAACTCATAGCAGTGCTATAGGACAGAGTGGAACTGTCCTCATGTGGTTTCCAAGGCTATAAATCTTCACAGAAGCAGACTGCCACACCTTTCTCCCATGGAGTGGCGGTGGGTTCTAACTGCCAACCTCTTGGTTAGCAGATGACTGTCTGAACCACTATCCACCAGCGCTCCTGGGGAACACTGTGCGTCAGTGTTACTTTAGGTTTTACATGTTCTTTGGTAGCATGTGGTAGATCCTTTTCGGGTCTAGGAGTGTTTGAAAGTTTTTCCATATAAATTAGTGGTAACTGCTACTTTGCTTTATGCCATCCCAGCTCACGAAAGGTTTCACAGCAATGCTCTCCTTTTGGACAGTGGGGTAAACGTGTATTCCTGCTGACCCCAAATGTACCCACTTGGACGTCTCAAGGAATCTGCATCCTAGTGTATCTAAAACAGTTCGTGGTCTTTCCCCATATCGTGCTCCTGTTCCCCACCTCAGGGGAGTTTAACGTTGATGCTATTCTACATGTCAGAGTCACCAAGTATCCAAAACCTATCCATTCATCTCCATCTCTACCATCACTGACTACCCAAGTCAAAATGCCTACCGACTCTTGCCTGGACTTAAATAGCCTACTGAATGGCTTCCTTGCAACCACTCTTGGCCCCTCCTATCCATTATCCACATCACAGCTCAAATATGATTAAGACACTCCCTGTGTAAAACTCCCTCTCAGGAAGGCCTCCAAAGCCATGCACGATCTGGTCCTTCCCAACCTCACCCTGTACAACTCCTTCCAAGCTGTCTATGCTCCAATGCTCCAGCCACTGGTCTTCTTCCAGGGTCCCTGCACACGTGGTTGCCTACTCCTAGAAGGGCCTTCACACTCACATCCTCCCGCCACCTCCTGGCCAACTCCCACCTGCCCATCATTGTTCAGCTCAATGGTCTTTCTAGGTAAATTCTACCATATATGCTCCTACACCATGTTCTTCTTCACAGCATTTTCCACAGTTGTATATAATTCCCTTTTTCCTTGTGATTTCTAAATTAACGTCGATTTCCTTCTGCTCCTCTGGGAACTCAGTGCTTGCCGTGACCCACACACGCTTCGTGACTGGGTGCACAGCATCACAATTCATCACTGGGATATAAAACGCAGATGAAACCTGTATCAAAATGGATATAGGGAGCAGTGATGTCACCATACCACAGTGAAGGAATTCTTGAAACTGTAGTGTGGCTACACGGACCTGAATGAAGGACAAGCCTGAAACAGCTCCTCAAGAAAGCTGAAGGGAAAAAAACAAACCTCAACCGAAACACAGACAGAGGTCTTGCTACCCCAAGCTGAACTCATGCAACCACACTGTACTCCGGCCAGAAAGAGAAAAAGGCACTGCCAACTGGCTTACTCCTGGCAACCACACCCGAGTGGAAAGCAACACCTAATTCTGACTCCCGTCTCCTGACTCCCCTCAGGTTGCCGGTCAGAGAACAGGCAAAGCAAGACCATAGCTGATGTAAGCTTTTAGCCACTAACAAAAGGGGGCAAAATGTCAGAATGAGCAATCAACATAGCTGTCCAATACTGGACAAGAACAGGCTTCCCTCCAAGAGTGGGGAAAAAGACAAATCACCTGACAGGCGACCAGTTTAGTGTAGTTCAAAGGAAGGGGCCCACTCCTGAATGACAGCCAATACCTACTGGACAGAATTACAGTGGTGACCTAAGAAAGACACTGACTGACGGGCTGATTCCAGCACGCTGGCCATTTCACTTCACGAGCACGTGCCGTGGGCCTGGATCTTGGCAGGCACTGCTCTCAAAGTGTGGCCACCCCTCAAGCTGAGCCCAGTGGAAGCCAACTACTGCATCCGGTGTTGAGCTAAGAGCAGTCTGCTTCACAGTGGGGAGGAATACAGCTGCTCGATCTGAACACAGGCCACCTACCCTCC